ACAACTTCCCCAGCCAAACAACGACAGCAAATACCTGGGCGAATGGAGACTCTGAGGTCGCCCCTGTCAGCCAGTGGACCCTGGAGGCGTTTCCTCTTCCTTGGACTGGTGACCGACAGTGTTTCTGAAGCCTTGCAGCAAACGCCACACTGGGACCCTGGGCTGGAGGTGGTTAGGAGGCTGGGTATAGCCCCTCCCCCAACTCTCCCCTTCCCCCAGGAACAGAAAGTCCCAGCGGCCGGCGCCAAGTCCCCAGTGTTGGGCTTCAGGGAGGCAGCAGGCATTGCTCACAGTGCCTGGGCGGGGCAGCGAACCGAGTTCAAATCTCCCGACTGGATCTGCTGACATCCGCAGCTGCCTCTATACGTGAGGCCTGTGTGCAAGGGAACCTGATTCTATCCAGCTCTCACCAGCTGCTCTGGGCCGGGGTAGGGGGACAACTGGCCACAGGAGGCGGCGGCAGCTCAGGTTCCCACCAGGGAAGGCACCCTGAGGTGAATCAACCGGGAACTTCCGGAAGCAGCGGCAGGGACAGAGGGAGGAGCAGACGGTCAGGAGGCCGGGGTGCTGGCCCCCCAGGCAAGACAGTCATTCCTGACCCCGCAGCGGTGCTGTGCATGACCGACTCCCAACGGGGGACAAGGAAGAAGCATGCGGCCACTGGGACACCCCTGGGTGACAGGAAGTACCCACAGTCCCTGCACATTTCACAGCAGATATTTGTTATTTCCATTCTGTGGGGGTATTTTCCTTGTTTGTTCAAGACGTGATTTTGTTTTGCTTGAAAGTTAGAGAGTTTTTCATCTGCAATGACCAGAGCTGGGCCTGTCTGAAATGGGAACCAGGAGCTTCTTCCGGGTCTCCCACGCGGGTGCAGGGTCCCAAGGCCTTGGGCCGTCCTCCACTGCTTTCCCAGGCCACAAGCAGGGAGCTGGAAGGGAAGCAGGAGCTGCCGGCACTCATTTCCGTGTCTATATGGATTATCAACACTATACATGGAGTATTAGCTTGCTGTGCCACTGTGTCAGACCCCAGATCCCATATTTTTGTTTTAAAGGTTTATTTATTTGAAAGGCAGAGTTACAGCAAAAGCCTTTCTATTCTCCAGTTCATTCCCTAAGTTGTCACAATGGCCAGGGCTGGAGTTGCAGACCAAAGCCAATAGCCTGGAACTCCAGGGCTCCTAGATGAGCGCAGGGGACCAAGCACTTGGACCATCCCCTCTGCTTTCCCAGGGACATCATCAGGGAGCAGCTGGAACTCCAGCTGATGTCCTTGTGGGATGCCAGCATCGCAGCCTGTGGCTTAAGATGCAAGGCCACAGTGCCAGCCCCTGCACTCGCTGTTAAAAATGTTCTACGGTGGCTAGAAGCTGCCTCAGAGCCGAGAGCCTGCACCATGGACAGAGTCCTTCACATAGCAGCAAGTCCACCAGGGTCCCGGGCAGAGCAGGTGGGGGGAAGTCAAGACAGGGCAAAAATGACAAGGAGCTCATGCCCATGTGGGAGACCCCAGACACCCCTGGCTGCTGCTTCGGACTGGCTCACTTCGTCATTGTGGCCACTTGAGGAGTGTATTATCTGCCTTTCCAATAAAAACAGATATATCTTTAAAAATGAATAAAAGGGGAATAAAGTTATGTTTCTAAATCTGATGACTACTTTTACTTAGGTTTGCGCTGGGCCTGGTCACCGAGGTCACTCAGGACAACGCCCACGCCATGGGAGCAGCTGCCGTGGAGGCTGCGGCGAGAAGGGTTCTGCCAGGGTCCTGTCGGGATCCGGCTGGCGGCGCCACAGGCTGGCCAGACAAGCAGCGCCCATGGTCATCACTCGTGGCACAGGCTGCCAGCAGCCAGCAGCCAGTGGCCCTCAGACACCGCGGGGGCCGGATGCCTCCACCCCAGGGCAGCTTCCCACGGCTGGCAGAGGCCAGGCGGTTACGCTGCCCAGAGGGCTCGGCAGCGGTGCGCGGCGGTGAGGGTGTGGATGGATAAACGGGAGACTGAGCGATCTATGCCGCAGGCAGGACAGCGGCTGCCTGGCATGACCCATCAGGGTTTCTCCAGAGCTTGTCACTGGAAGAGGGGCCAGGAGGGTGGGAGACCACAGAAGCAGCCTGGAGAGAAAGGACGGGGAGCCCGGCTGAGGGCCAGGCTGTGAGGGAGGGAAGGGCAGACCAGCGTTTCACAGTTGCTGTGTGTGCAGGAGCAAGAGGGACGTGTGTCCCCCGCTTCCGAGCTCCGCCGGCAGATGGATGGTGGGGCCCCTGGACTGGGAAGGATCAGAGAAATCGGGAGAAGATGGAACAGACTTGAGCCTGAGCCACAGACGTGTCAGGGGCACGCCGAGGAATGGATATGTGCTGGACACCATGGCGGGAGCAGACCTGCTGGGCTGTGGCTACATTCCCCACTCGGGAATCATCCGACAGAATGCACAGGAAGCCATCAGGGGCTCCCTGTGCGGGGCGACCTGCCAGTCAACTGGCTCACCCTGAATTTTGTCCTCGACCCCTCAGAAATCCACCCCCACTACCTGCCCCTCTGCCACCACCCGACGTCATCGCACGCTTCCCCTGGGACCGTCCATCAGCCCTCAGTCCTGAAAGCACCGACAGACACGCCCGGCAAGCCCTGTGGCTCCTGCCACCTCGCAGCCTGTGGGCGCTTCCTGCCAGCCCACCGGCCTGTCCGCCTCAGTTCCCCACGGCAGCCAGCCTCAGGTGGTTACAGAGCACACTGGACCTTACCAAGCTCTCAACTGTCAATTATCCACCGACCATCCTGCCCATTTGCCTCTACCGGATGACATGGTCCACACACAGGGCCACTCCTGCTGCCCTTCTTCCACTCAGGTCCCTGCCGCAGTCACCACACCCTCCTCACGGCCCCACGCCGTGAAGCACGGCTCCACCTGAGACCACACCTGCATGGCATCATCATGCATCGACCCAAACATACATCCAAGGGCAGGGGAATGACAGGGGTCTGGCCCATGTTGCCACCTACCTACCTGGTGACTAGCCCCTGCCCCTGCCACCGGAGCCCAGCCCACGCTCACCCTGCACACGCCCCAGCGAGCACCCGCCTTTGGTTTGGGCCACACTTGTTCTGACTCTCCTGTCCTCATTCCAAAAGTCTGGCTGAAACAGGTGACATGCCTCCATCGGCCAGACACCTGTGGCTGGGCTGTCGGGACCGCCCTCTGCCTGCCCCCTTAGCCTAGACAACATGCACCTTCTTCACTGCCACTTTGTCTCCGGTGTTTCCGCCGCAGAAAGGCACTGTTACCGCCCACTTTGGCGGTCGCAGGGCCTGCAGGACCCCTGAGACAAAGCCAACCACAACACTTAGCTGAAGCACTCGCAGTGGGGCGAAGCAATTCCAGAGTCAAACCCAGATAACACAGACAAGACAGAGGGGAGAACGATCTTCCTCCACCGGTTCACTTCCCAAATGGACATGACGGCCGGAGCTGAGCCAGTCCAAAGCCACAGCCAAGAGTGTTTTCTGCGAGCCGGATGGGAAGTGGAGCTGCCGGGATTAGAACCGGCCCATATGGATCCCGGCGTATTCAAGGCGAGGACTTTAGCCGCTAAGCCACGCCACCGGGCCCCCAAGAGTGTTTTCTGGGACTCCCACAAGGGTGCAGGGTCCCAAGGCTTTCGGCTGCCCTCGACTGCCTTCCCAGGCCACAAGCAGGGAGCTGGAAGGGAAGTAGGGCAGCTGGGACATTAACTGGTGCCCATGTGGGATCCTGGCGCATGCAAGGGAAGATTAGCCAATTGAGCCACCACACCGGGTCCTGTTCCCCTCCTTTCTAAAGCAGCTTGTTTTAACTAGAGTCACACAGAGACCTTCCACCTGCCACACGGCCACAACAGCCCAGCTGGGCGAGGCCGGAGCCAGGAACTGCACGCAGGTCATCATTGGCTGCCTCCTGGGGCACAGAGCAGCCTGCACAGGAGGTGCAGGGAGAGGTCCCTGCAGGAGCTGGGGACATCCACTTGCTGCTGGCCAGGACCTCAGAGTGCAGCCATGTGCCCATAAGCAACAGTCTGGGATGCTTTCTGGGGTAATGGGTAAAAGAACTCATGAGGGCCCAGCACAGTAGCCTAGAGGCTAAAGTCCTCACCTTGAACGCACTGGGATCCCATATGGTGCCAGTTCTAATTCTGGCAGCTCCACTTCCCATCCAGCTCCCTGCCTGTGGCCTGGGAAAGCAGTCAAGAATGGCCCAAAGCCTTGGGACCCTGCACCCGTGTGTGAGACCCAGAAAAGGCTCCTGGCTTCGTATTGGCTCAGCTCCAGACATTGCAGCCACTTGGGGAGTGAATCAGCGGATGGAAGATCTTTTTGTCTCTCCTCCTCACTGTAAACCTGCCTTTCCAATAAAAATAAATCAATCTGAAAGAAGAAAAAAAGAAAGGGGAGGTGAGTGAAGCTACTCACACTGGGCGGGGCCGGGATGCCAACACCAAGCAGGTGCCACCCAGACCACCCAGGCCACCCTCTGCAGGCCTGGCCTTGCCCTTGTGGCTTGCTGCCCCGCCCCCTCTGGAGGTCACTGCTCCCCACGGCCCGAGACAACGGCTGTGAGTGAGGAGACGGCTTTACGGGGCCCACCTAGTGGAGAAACGCAGTCGGAGGTGAGCCACAGAGGAGGCCGAGTCTGGGCCTGCAGAGACAACAGCCGCCATGGGCGGGCACGCCAGTCAGAATGCCGGCAGGGCAGGCCGTGGGTGCCAACAGCTCACACAGCTCGGCCCTGGCTCTCTCACCGCAGCTAAGAGACACACAAACAGCAAGAAGCGACAAGCGCCCTGCATGTCAGGAAGCGCGCCTCCTTGCCAGGGCCAGCCTGGGCCCCCGGGGGAACAGAGCCACCACGCCCGGGGGTCCTTGAGGAAGAGACCACGCGGACCAGGAGGGGTGACATCAAGGTTGTCTGTGTACCTGCTAGCACCAGGCCGCGTTTGTTTTTCCCCTCAGGATCCCGTATTTATTCAATGACAAGTCTGCAGGCACAGCTTGAGCAGGATAAAAAAAGTTCTCTCCTTGAGTTAACAATCACCTAATCCAAAAGCACTCACAAAATTGAGCAAAGCCAGTACTTGCATATCAGCGAAAGAAAACGATGCTAATAGAAGCCACGCATCTGGTCAAAGTAAATGTTTTCTATTAAGGAGTCGAACAGGCAGCAAATTCTAGCCCAGATCACAGCCTTGCTACAGGCCGTGGCCCACTGCGGCTGCGGGGGGAGCTCCAGCAGTCACCCCAGGAGAAGCAGCCTGGCTAAGCGTGCGAGTCAGTGTCGCGGGGCTCCCCACCAGCGGCCACGTGCCCTCCAACCGTCTGGAGTTCCACGCCAGGACAGGCAGCTGAAGCTTGGCACGGGCCGCCCAGCGGCTGGAGGGGAGGCAGCGGCGGGGTTGCCTCCAGCTCCTCCTCTGAAGGCAGACGGGTAAGACAGGCAGATGTGCAGGCCCCAACGGGGATGGGAGGGAAGCGAGGAGGAACGGAGGCGGCTCCAGGCAGCGCAGGAGGGCCTGTGGGCTCTCAGCGGACCAGGACACTGTCCACAACCACGATGATCCACACTCACACTTCGCTCAACGCCACCCTGGGGGTTCCTCGCACGGCGCCGAGCAGGTGCCAGGCCTCCCACTCGGGCTGCCTGTGCAGCGGTGCCAGCACTGTTCCCAGGAGCAGGTGCGCTGTGCGGCGGCCAGGAGGCAACGGACAGCAGACGCCACAGACGGCCACTCTTCAGACCCAGATGGCCAGTCCACCGGAAGTGTCTCCTTTCTCCGGCTCGGGAGGCTGCGGGCAGGGCACAGTGGTCCCACGGAGGAGACCTCGAGCTCCCACAGCCCCTCCGGGACTGGCCTGAGTGTCCACACACTCGCCTCCATACTGACCTCCTCTGGCAGAGGCCAAGTCAGCGGCGATAGCTGAGGCTGGCAGCCTTGGCAGGATGTGTCGCCGACCAGAAGTTCCATCTGCTCTGAAGTTTCTGGAAGGCGTTGAAATTCCTTTTCTCTCTCTTGAACTTTTTCACCTTCTTCTCCTACACCGAGAACCATAAGTGAGTGCTTCCAGCACCGGTGTGGCAACAGACCCACCAACAACCCGGAAGTGACCGACAACCCGCCTGCTCCCCCTTCACCAACAACCTGGAAGTGACCGAGTGTCACCGCCTTGCCCAGGCGCTCACGGCAGGGTGCTGCCAGGCAGGGACAGGAGGGACCCGCAGCCTGGTCCGTCTCCCGCCAGCCCAGGTCTGCCGCCCAGCCCTTGGGTCCCTGGCTGTGAGCACACCTTCCCACGGTCGAACTGCTCATCCCAGTCGTCGAGCACGCTCCGGGCCCGCGCCAGCCGGCTGTCTTCAGCAGCATCCTTACTGACGGCGGACACTTCCCCGTCCCATGTCAGCACTGCAAGAAAGACGTCGGGCGTCAGCACGCACCGGGGCTGCTCTCAGAAACCAGCGCTGCCTTCTAGGCAAGGGTGAATCGGCCAGCCCGCCTTCTTCCTTGGCACTCAATTATCCAGGGAAAACGACCCGCCATGGGCGGCAAGAGGCAAGGAGGCCACGTGAGCAGGGCAGTCCTGGGGCACCTGCCCGGTGGCCTGTGCACCACCAAGCCAGTGCCCTGTCCCCACGTGGGAAGCAAAGCTCTGGCCCCCACAGATGGCTCACACTCAGGATGGCCCTGCTGGGAGCGGAAGTATGAGCACATGAGGGCTTTGCCCCAGACCCGCCCGGAGGCATGAGCGATGCACAGCCACGCCGGGTGTGCGTCCTCACACCATTGTCCTGGGCTCGCCCAGAGCACAGAGCACAGGCACGCGACTCCTCTTCCCACCACGGATGCCGGGCAAGGCCCAATCCAGCACCGACACCTGGCACACCGCGCCCTCCCCAGAGCCACACCTTTCTTCCCGTAAGCTTTATCTGAAGAGTATCGCAGCAGCTCCTGCAGCGCGTCGGGTTTGTCCTCTCTGTTCCTACAGACCGGAGGAGCCTGTCCCAGCCCTGGAACCAGAGAAGCCAAGAAACACTTAGCTTGCACCCAGACATAACGGTGACAGTCCCCCAGACACCGGCAGGGGCTCATCCCGGCTCAGCTCCAGGGCCTTGCTCCTACTTTTTGAAGAGCAGGGTCCTGGCCAGCACCTGCCGAGACAGACGGGACGCTGCGGCCAGCAGGGCTGGCTTTGGGCTGTGGAGGGGAAACAGGCCAAGCTCTAAGGGGTCTCCTCTGCCCCTTGGAGAGGGAACAGCATGGTGTCACTTCTGCTGCCACCACGGACTCATTCCTGAGCCCCACCCAGAGTACAAACCACAGGTGCACAGGGACCCCTGAACTCGCGTGCCCCCTCAGCAGTTTCTAGAAACAGTCTCTGAGACAGTCCTCTGCCCGTGGGAGGTGCACCTTCCGGAAGGACCTCACCCCCCTGCCCACCACCCTGACCTGGTCTGTGCCCTCCCTCCCATCTGCCCTCCCTCAGCCTGGATGGAGCAGACGGGGTTGCTGCCCCCACTGCAGCCCATAGGACAGCTGGTCCACTCAGCCTCGGCTGCGAGGCTCAAAGGGATGGGGCCTGAGGGCCTGGGCTGCCCCTTGCACGCGTGGCAGACAAGCACCCGGGTACAGCCTAGAGCCACCCCTGCACCCATGCACCAGCAGCTGCTCCTCCACAGGCCACGCTGGCCCCCCAGCAGCCACGCTCCACACGGCGGACAGAGGCATCACCCTGAGTGAGAAGTCACCCAGTGACACACTGCTCCAGTCATCTGCTGGACACAATCAAGTCCTGCTTGCTCCAGTGCACCGAGGCAAGTGGTTGCCAGACCGCAGGGCAGGCCTCACTCAGGCACTGTGCCTGCTGGACAAAGAAACCTCTGCAGTCTGCAGCCTCCGAGCTGGGGCCTGAGGCAGTCAAGCCCAGCTCCCAGCCAGCGGAAGCCGCTAGCAAGGCAAGTGCTGGGAGCAGACCCAGGCAGAACTCTGCGAGGCATGCCAGGGCAGGGACAGAGTGGGGCAGCCTGCAGCTCCTGTGTGCCATGTCCCCTCTCTGGGCAGGGGGGCTGGTACCCCGGGGTGGGAGGCAGGAATAATCCCTGGATTTTGTACTCCCGTGGCTCTTGTCCCCTGCTTACCCAGGGGTGCGCCTGTGGAGTCCCCAGGAAGTTGCCCATTCACGAGTGCCAAGGAATGGCTCCGCCCAGGGACCGTGGTGTCACGGGGGTGCGCACCCCCCTGGTCTTGTGGACGCTTCGCCTCTTCGGCCTCCTGCTCTGACTCCTGCCTTCTCTTCTTCCTCCTGGGAGACACAGCCCTGGGCCCAGGCTCACCGTGGCTGGAAAGCAAAGGCAAGGGATGGCCCTTGAGCAGAGAACGGGCACCGACGACAGATGGCTAGCACGATCGGGATCTCACCTCACATGACTGACAAGCTCCCGTCAGCTGATGCCACCCCCCCAAACACCTGCCACAGCCAGGGCGGGCCAGCCTGAGGTCAGTGGGGAACTCTCCGGGGCTGCACTGGCAGGAAGCCGGAGTCGGAGGCTGGAACCTGATGTCAATGTCAAGGGACTCCACTGACTCGGTCTGGGCGCCAAACGCCTGGCTCTGACTTGGGCCACTAACTGTGGAAACCACTGCCGCTAAACACGGCCCCAAGGATGAGTGGGCTGCTGACCACCCCACACATGCTGTAATGCTCCATGGACACACAAAGTCCTGCCGTCTGGGGTCATGGACAAGCTGGTGTATGGCCAACACACACGTGCCCCTGGTGCACTGGCACCACACCTTACAAGATCCAGACCATGCCCACACGGGACTCGGGCATGGGTGTGACGCACCCGCCTTACCTGTGCTGGGGGGTGCCCAGGGCGAGGCTGTCTGCCCTGCCAGGCCGATCTGCTTCCTTCTTCTTCCTCTTGCGGCTGCGCTGGCCACCCAGGCCGTGTCCTCCCTGCTGGCCGTTCACCTCAGACCTCGTGCCCGCTGCTTCCAGTGGACTAGCTGGCAGCTCCGCCGGGCCCTCCCTGCCCTCCAGAACCCTGGCCTGCCCGATGGCTGTGCTTGCATCCTCAAGTGGCTTTCTCTTTCTCCTTTTCTTCTTCCTGCGAGGCACTGCAGCCTCCGCCTCGAGGGGCCTTGTCAGCGGCGCGTCTGGGCCTGAACCCCCGAGGGTCTCCCCGCAGGTCCTTCTCCTCTTTTTGGAGGAGCTCTGGGGGGCTCTGGTGGCCTCAAGCAGCTGGTGTGAAGGGGCCACGGCGCCCCCGTTGACCTGAGGCAGGGAGCTGGAGGCGGGGGAGCAGCCCCGTGGGGGCTGGGGGCTGTGGAGCGACGTGGAGTGCGGGCTGCCAGGTGGCTTCGCGCGGCAGGATGACGGGGGAGCAGGAGACACGGCCCTGCGGGGAGAGCCAGGCGTGGGGTGGCTGCTCCGGAGGCAGACCCGCTCTCCTCCCGCCCACCCTCACCCCACCCTTCTGCCCGCAAGCTTTAGGGGTTCCCGTTTCCCCTGTAATTCTCAGATGTACATGAATGACACGCATGTTGGAGAAAGAGGCTGACAGAAAGCGGCAGGTCTGTGATCCGAGTGAACCAAGCCCCGAGTGGGCTCAGTCACGGGAAATGAGCTCCTCCCAGTGACAGGAGCAGCTCTCCACGGCAGGGCACTGCCGGCCTACCCGCACTGGGTGCCAGCAGCCAGAGGGCCCATACCATCACCAAGCCACGTGCACCACGACGGCTAGGCCAATGCAACTACTGTGCCAGTCACTGTTTTCTCCAATTTTTCTTACAGGTCACATGACAAAAAGAAGCAAGGTAAAGCTACCCGACACACCTCCGGTGCCTAAGGACCCACCGTGCCCAGACACATGCTCGGTGAACAGGTATGTGCCCGAGTATGTGAGAGCAAGACCTGGGCTCGTGGGGACACCACGGGCACTGCCCTCCGGCCATGCAGGCAGAGTCTCACAGAGGCAGAACGGAAAGGAGGGTGCCCAAGGCACAAGTGCCGGAGCGAAGTCTGCCGTCTGTGCTGCTGCCAGTGGCAAGATGCGCTCTCCTCTCGCCATGCACACCAAGCAGATGGCAGCGCCCCTTGCAGCTGCACTTCAGCAGGGAAGCTTCAGAAAGCCCCGAGGCAGCGAGCCAGCAACCCAGACAGGGTGCTCCGTGGGGCTGGGGCCCAGGGCCGTGCTGTGCACTGTGCCATCAGCCCAGCCCACAGGGGCCTTTCTGGAGTCCCCACCATCCTCTCGGGAAGCACTGTCCATGCCTGGTGAGGTGCTGTGCAGAACTGGCAGACCCACTGAAACCCACACAGCACCTGGCTGCAAAGGCCCGACGGCTACTGAGCAGCAGACATGCCTTCACCACACGGGGCCTGGCAACGCCCCAGGCCGGCCCGCGTCCAGCTCTCCCGCAGGCCTGTGCACACACCCGCGGGCAGGAGCCGCCGACACGGGCCCGGCCAGGCTTACCTGGGCTGGCTGACAGGCCAGGTGGAGGCCTTGGCCCGGGGAGTGGCTGTCATGGGGTAGGTGAGGTCGGAGAATGGCGAGGGCAGAGGTGAACGCGGCTCACTGCGGGTCGCCCTCCGCAGGGAGCTGGCCTGCAGTTATTGACATAAACAGAAACTTGGTGGTCTAAGAAAGGTTCCCGTGAGTGAAGAGGGGAAACAACACAAACAACAGAGGGAACCCAGAGGGAGGATGGAGGGACAGAGGAGGGGGTGGTAGAAGAAGAATCAGAAGTGTTTTTGATTAGAAACAAAAAGGAAAAAAGGAAGGAAATTTAAACAAAAACCACGCAAGCCCGCCCCCGCCCCACGAGGGACACATTCCCAGCACCCAGCCCTGCGGGGGCAGCTCAGCCTCCCGCCCTCAGCGACCCGGGGACCTGGGGACCTGGAGCCCACACCACGCAAGCCCACCCCCGCCCCGCGAGGGACACAGTCCCAGCACCCAGCCCTGCGGGGGCAGCTCAGCCTCCTGTCCTCAGCAACCGGGGACCTGGAGCCCACACCCAGGGCTTCTGCAGCTGCGGGCAGCACGGGGCTCACAGCCTGCAGCCTAAGGAAGCCTCGCACAGCACGTGGTGCCCCTCCATGCCTGCCCCATACCCACACTACGCTCAGACCCGCCGATCAAAGGCGCCTGCTGCCGCACACACCCACCTTCTCAGCAGACAGGGCGGGCTTCTTGGCTGGCGGAGGAGACGTGGTGCTGGCGGGCTCGGGGGACTTGAGCCTTGCCACCTTGGGGTCCGCTCCAGCTGATGGCACTTTGGCGTGGCCACTGGCTGGACAGTTTGTTTCCTGAGAGTCACAGAGGCGGGCAGCTCCGCTCTTCGGGGTCTGGGGCGCCTGGGCAGAGTCGCTGCTGCTGGAACGCTTGGGGCTGCAACTGCTGAGGTCAGCATACCCATCACGCCTCTTGGGCCCATGCCCATTGGCAGTGGCTTCAGCCAGCTCAGGTGAGGTAGAGAGGGCGGTGACTCCACGGTCCCAGGAGCCCTGTCCGCGGCCTCCAGGGGCCCCACACTTGCTGCCATTCGAGGTGCTGGTGCCAGGAAAGCCCTGAGAAGCTTTGGGGGAGGGGGAGGGATCCTGCAGGGGGGCCGGCATCTTCACCTTCCCAGGCTCATCGAGGACAGTGGGCATGTGCGTGGGGGTTTGGGGGAGTCTGGGGGACGGGGTCCCCGGGGGCAGCTTCGGAGGGCCATGTCCATTCGGCGTCTTCAGGCCCAGAATGGAGCCATTCCGGGAGACAGGCACACCCAGCTCTTCCGCAGCCTGCGGCTTCTTCCCCAGCAAAGAGTCATGTCGCTTAAGGAAAGTAAACAGGAACCCCCATGAGAACCCGCAGGACGGGCACCACACGGCCCCAGCCCCACACACAGCCGCAGGCCTGGCTCTGGACACACGGTGTGGACCCCGCGCCTCCTGTGAGCAGCCCTGGGCTACAAAAGAGCAGGCAGGGTGTGTCCTCAGGGACGCCCCTGACAGCGAAAGCAGTGCCTTTCCACCAAGATCGGCATGAAGGACTTCCAGTGGAATACACCCCCCACAGCACGTGGCTACCGTGGGTCTGCATGTCGCCGGCTTGGCCCTCACGTTCCCAGGCTCGCCAGGTTCTGGCTGCTCTCAGAGCCCTGCCGTGGGGACAGCACCCTTGAGGCCGGCTCCCCGCAGTGCCAGGCACCTCACCCTCTCCACCCGGCCAGGGGGCACCAGCAAGCTGACAACCCTAGGCCACTGCCCGGAAGTAGCAACAGCAGGATCCCAATGTACCATCAGCTCTGATGCCTAGGTGTATCTCTCCTCCACTTTTAACAGCAACAGGATTTCTTTTATAAAGCAAATGTCACCATCTGACTCTCCTGTGGGCTGCCATCAGTGTGACATTCATGTCCTGGGTACACACCTCGGAAACAGTCACTGAATGAACTCTCTCCATGCCACAATGCTGCAAATGTTTCTAAAGTTCCCACTATTCCTTTTCTATTTATAAGTCTATGGAAAAGAACTTTAAATTTTAGTTCAGCCAATTTTTTTCACACTACAATATTCATGACCGACTGTACTTAAAAGTGGTCTGTGTGACTGTATGTTGGATTATGAACGTACGTGAGCCACACGGCACCCCACCTCGCTGCACGAAGCCGCCCCCTGCTTCCGGCGGAGCCCAGAGTCAGCCATGGTACAGTCGGCCTCCACTGGGGGGAGGGCCGCCGGGGCGGGTAGCAAAGCTGTCCTTTCAGCCCAGAGGCCCACGGGCCTGGGCAGGTGCCTGCCTTCCCAGGAGGCACCTCAGCCACTCAGCCAACCAGGGACGGCCACACAGACTCACAGAAGCCACGGGAAGTAGGCAACGAGACCCAACTCCCAACAGAACCTGCACTCCTCCGGTCACTCTCACGGGGGAAGGCTGGGAGCTGATCAGAGGGAGTTAAGGTCACGGGGGTAGACACCACGTGACTTCTGTGCTTTTAGTCACCAATGAAGCGATGACCAAGGGCACCATTCCACTCAGCAAGACCACACAGCTACTTCTGCTGCCATGGAGAGCTGGTCCTGGCCATGGGGTTCACTGAGGGGCCCCTGTGGTGGAACCCCACCAGTCCAAGGCTTGTCTCGAGTCTGGCGACCTGGCGCATCGGCTTGGAGACCCCAGTAATCCACACTTGATGCTTTGGCATTGTGGGGCCTGATCCCTGAGCCTCTAGCTCTCACTACACAAGCCTCCTCCTTCCCCAGGCCTTGCTCCTCTGCGGCCACCTTGGCCAGCACAGACTAGCTGGGAATTACAAATGAGCACATGTTCACCTGGTGCGGCCAGTCCCAGATGCCAACACTCGGATGCTGCAGCCATGTGGACGCTCACTGGCCATACCCATCACTGTTCTTGCCAACGCCAATCAACACGTTCTTAGGCAACCACTAGTTTAACTTTATTCCATGCTCCAGGAACACAGGCCACATGCCCGGGAAGGACAGCCTGCATCTGTGGGTTCTGTCCTCTGCAGCACACCCATGGGCCTGCGTTACCTGGCCTGAGAGTCACCGGCTGGCACAGCCACAGTACCCGCCCCCAAAACCAACCTGTCACCCGTGACTGCAGCTCCAAGACCCTGTCCAGTAAGCAGCACAGCTGCACCCCCTTCCCACTGGTCACTGCATTCCCAACGGCCAGGGACATGAGCACACTGCCACAGTGTGACCCCCCCAGTGCAGAGCCCCCGAGGGCCTCGGCACATGCTCTAATGCCCACCTGGACGGGGAGCCTGCAACAGAACCTAATGCCTCATATGACTGACCTCAAAGGCCTCACAGGACAGGGCCCCAAGTGCCTGGCCCAATTCCGGCAGCCCCCAGGAGGCTTGGTGGCGAAGCCATAGCCAGGGCTGCTATGTACCCTCAGCAGTACCTTGCCTGGCAGCGGCGAGTGCATGGTCCCATGGCTCAAGCTCTTCCTGGAGGGGTCTGGAGTCCCAGCAGGGCGGCCAGGGAAGGCGGAGCTTGTGCGGGAGATGGGGCCCTCAGGACTTCTCTTAGAGCTGGGGATTCTGTCCCAGGAAGAAAGAGCAAATTCTCAGCCAAGCGGAACAGGCGCGGCAGGCCCAGGTGGAAAGCAGCCGCCCAGCCTCCCCACTCTCCCCTGCGTCACCAGGAGTCGAAAGGGCCCGCCATGCCAGGGATCCCCGTGTTGCCGCCCTGGGTGTCACGGTTTGCAGCCTGCAGGAGGGTGGCTGCCCCTCCAGAAAATCCGCTGTGGCTTCCCAACGCCCCTAAGGAAAACTGCCACATGGGGGGAGCGCGGGGCCCACAGAAGTGACACTGCCAATGTGGGGCAACGCTGCCACGCTTGGGCAGCCCCCACGCATGGCAGGAACGAGCATACCTGACCAACAGCCAGGAGGAGCTCCCCGCGTCGGCCCTGCCTGGGCCTGGGGTCAGAGGAGGAGGCAGCCCCCAAGGCCTGCCCTCCCGAGGCCCCCCAGTTGCATGAGGACAGAGAGCAGACGTGGGCCTCTCACCGCAGGTAGAAGAGCACGTAGGCCTGCTGGTTGAGGGCCACCTTGACGTTGCTGGAATGCACCAGGGAGTCATTCATCTGGTACCACTGTCCATTGCTTGCCTGCATAGCACAGGGCGGACGGAAGCAGAATGGTCAGCAAGCAGGCGCAGCCGCCCTGTCCGGGGGAATTGCTGACCTGCACCGGGTCTCATCAAACCGCTGACGCCTTCCTGCTGGGCGCACATGTCTTAGGCTGGCCTCCAAAGTCACACATCAGCCCTGGCTCCCTCCTGGGGCCCCAGCTCGCGAGAACTACCCCTGCTAGAGGCATTCTGGTGGGCCCAGCAGCTTCCTTCACCACACTTCCTCCAGCACAAGAACCCTGGGAGGGCGCCTGGCTGCATCTCAGACTTCGCAACCACAGACGCCGAACCGCCTATGAGGCTCGTTCTCAGCCCGTCACGTGACGACGATGGGCAGAACCTGCTCATACTCCAAGACACCAGCCCTCGCCCTGTAGAGACCAGCTCTGGCCCGTCGTGGACCCAGCAGGACACCAGCCCTCGCCCTGCAGGGGCCAGCTCTGGCCCGTCGTGGACCCAGCAGGACACCAGCCCTCGCCCTGCAGGGGCCAGCTCTGGCCCATAGTGGGCCCAGTGGAGCCCGGCAGCTGGGCAGCCAGCATGCGCCTCACCTTCACGTAGCAGTAGTAGTGGCCTGCATGGCAGCTGTAGCCTGAGTGGACCAGGACAGCATAGAGCCCATAGGTGACAGGCTCGCCGCTACTCTGGGACATGTAGGGACGGATGTTCAGGAACTCTGGGTAGCCGACATCCTGTCCAGAAGACAGAGGGACACAAAGGCCTGTCAGTCCCATGGAAGAGCCACACGGCATGCCTGGAGCAGCAAAGCTCCTACTGGTGGTGCCACAGTGAGGCGAGGAGGGCATCTTGCCCCAAACCACCCCACTGGCCCATCTGGCTACCTGCTCTCACTTCGACCCTTTCAGCACCTGCAGGGGCTCTGACTCTCCCCAGCTGTCCCTGGGGCCGAGAGGAGCCGCGGAGCCCACTCCCCAATGGCCCCTCACAGCAGGGAGGGCAAAGCAGCACGCTTTCGGCACAGACGACGCTGCCAAGCACAGCCGGGGCCACGAGCTGCGTGTACGCTCAGTCAAGGCAGAGTTAGAGATCAAGCCCCGGCTGGGATGGCGTGCCACTACCTGCTGCCTTTCCTGGCACGCTGGTGGGCAGCCGGACGGGAAGCATGACCCAGTGGACACACGAAGAGGCTGGACCTGCCATGCCACCCCCACAAGCCAGGGAGCTAAATTCTTAATAAGCTAGATTGGAACAGAGGTTATGCTAGAATCTATCTGTGGTAAAAACTGACGATTTTTTTTTTTTGTAGGAAAACATTTTTTAAAACTTTTTTCTGGGCCTGGCATGGTAGCTTAGGGGATAAAGTCCTCGCCTTGAAGGCGCCAGGATCCCATATGGGCACCAGTTCTAATTCTGGCAGGCCTGCTTCCCATCCAGCACCCTGCCTGTGGCCTGGGAAAGCAGTCGAGGATGGCCCAAAGCCTTGGGACCCTGCACCCGTGTGGGAGACCCGGAAGAAGCTCCTGGCTCCTGGCTTCAGACTGGCTCGGCTCTAGCCATTGCAGCTGCTTGGGGAGTGAACCATCAGATGGAAGATCTTCCTCTCTGTCTCTCCTCCTCTCTGTATAACTGCCTTTCCAATAAAAATAAATAAATCTTGGGGGAAAAAAAAAAGGCCAAGTTACAGAAAAGAGATCTCTACGCTAGTTCAATCCCCAAGCAGCCACAATGGCCAGGGCTGGGCCAGGCCACGGGCAGCAGGCAGGACTTCACCCGCGCCCCCTGTGCGGGTGCAGGGCCTCAAGCACATGCGCCGTCCTCTGCTGCGCTCCTGGCATGCCCAGGGAGCTAGCAGAGCAGCTAGGATCAAACCAGCTCCCACATGGGACGCCAGTTTCCCAGGCAACAGTTTAATCCACTAAGCCAAAACGCTGGTCCCAGTAAATCTTTAAAAAACGAGAGAGCTGTAGACTTATGAAACACACCCGCTACAAAAAATACAGATTTTTCTTCTATACCCCACAAAAAGCCACTGCGTGGCAACGGCACCTGCTTCAGCCTCCACAGAGGCCCCCGAGCCTGGGGAATACAAGGACACACCGAGGGACTGTCCCCCGGGCAGCCCAGCGGGCAGCGCGGACAGCCCAGCGGCCAGTGCACACCTTGGTGATCTTGCCGCCGCTGGAGTTGGCGAAGCGCTTCAGAGAGAGCGTGAGCACGTTGGACGTCCTGTGGATGCTGAAACGCTTGCTGGCCGGCACCTTCCTCTTGCACCTGCGAGGGGACTGCGGTCAGCATGCGCCAGGCCTGAGCTCTGCGCCTGCTGCGTCCCAAAGCTTAAACACCACCCCTGCTGTAGGCAGCGCAAGGCTGCGACGGGCAGTTAGCAGAGAGCTGGCGCAAGAACGGGAGGAACGTGGCCAGGAGGTGCCAGTAGGAGGACAGTGCAGGGAAAGCTGCAGTAAGGCAGGTCCAGGGGGACGCTGGGGGCAGAGCGGGCAGATTCTGCCCTGACGGGAACGGCTTTCAGGAGGGAAGGCACTGACTGGTGGGCTCAGAGAAGCTGACACCCCTCCAGGGTCACGGCTTTAAGGGGACCTAGACCCAGAGGCTCTGCCCCTCAGGAGGACGAGGAGTTAGCATCTGCTGCAACAGGAAACCACTCGCCCACAGGACCACCTCACCTGCCCTAGGCCGTGCCTCGTGCAACACCGCCCAGAGCCCTGGGTACAGGGTCACCACAGCACCCTGCTTCCCAAGTTGGGGCACCGTGAGCCAGCAGGCCCACAGCCACACTGTGTGAACAGAGACACGTGGTAACACGCCATGGGTCACTCGGGCAGCACGAGCAGTGGTCACTCAAAGGCAGGAGAGGCCATGACGGCCAGCAGGTGGATGACTTCTGGAAGAGTCCACTTGGACCAGAGTACAGCGAGACTTACTTGGCGCACATGTAGGCATTCTCTCCACTCAGGACATCCGGCTTCACAAAGAGCTCCAGAGCCCGCACAATATTTGCAGCTTGCTGAGGGCAAAATGAATGGGAACACGCCATCAGCAGGAGGGCTGACGCGAGACACAGTCACTAACATGGAAATGGACCTACTGGCGGCCCCAAGGGAACAGGGTACCAGCCACAGCCCTCCTCTAGGGACGAGGAACACACCACATGAGGCTCACCCCGTGAGCCATCCCGTCCACCACGCCCACGACCGGGCCTGGTCTGCTGCCCCAAGCCCTGGCAAGGTCCAGAGGGCAACCAAGACGCCACCCCAGAGCCAAGGGCAACCAAGCTGCCCTGAGAGCTACAAGGACAGCCCCACGTGACGATTCAGTCACTGCCTGTGCCTCGGGATGCAGACTCTATTTTAGCTGTATTTGAGTAAAAGAGGCTGAGGCAGAAGGCCGAGTCCAACCCCACTACACTGACAGCATCTGTTCTGGGGTGGCTGACCATGGGCCCTGCCCCTCCAGTCAGGCTCGCCTCTCCCTGCTGGGCTCTGGCCTCCCTCCACGCCGCTCCCCACGCCGGCCGTACCCGAATCTCCAGCGCTATGTCCAGGTAGGGGTCATAGGTGTCCGAGACGCTCTTGCACTGCGAGCACTTCACTGAAACAGGACAGGCGGACAGTGGGCAGGTGGGCACAGGGGAGCCCTGCCCCTCACCCCAACCCCCAATGCCAGGACAGCCCTCAAGCGGCCTTCTGCCCAGGAGACCTCCTCACTACCCTGGAGACTCCAGCATCCACAGTGAGGGTCCCCAGAGACACCACTGCCGCCCTGCTCTGCACACAGCAGGCCCGGGCTCTCAGCTATGGGGCAAGGGCCACAGGTCAGGCAGCCAAGCAGGAGAGAAGCACGTGAGCAAAACTTCCCCAAACCAGCTTAGGAGAGTGCCCTGTCCACTCGGAGCCCTGGCAGGCAGGCACCACAGAGGCAGCCCAGGCCCTCTAACACCTGGCCAGGTGTGTACAGCAGCAGCACACCCACTGGCAGAGTCCCCAGAGTGCCCAGGGTCATGGCTCCCACTCCACCAGGAAGAGCTGGAGAAGACAGCTCCACGCACCTCGCGATCTCAGATACCCGCCGAAGATCTGGTGGACCAAGGTGGTGGCCTGGGTTTGACGGTCCAGTCTGAAAAGAAGCACATGGCCTTGAAGAGGGCACCATTAGTTTAGCATGATCCACAGAAACCTACAAGCCGGCCTACAAGTCTCATACCTACAAGCCGGCCACCACCCACTCCCCACTCTCAGGGTTCCCGGCCTCCACACCCATAGCAGCTGCTTCAAACCTCTCCAATGCTCTGCCTATCCCATGCCTCTCGGCTGGGCACCTCGCACCGACCACGCTGGCACCTGGAGCATGCCTTGGGCTCCCTCACCCTCCAGGTTCAGGGCCCAAGCTGGTTGCCCTCAGCTCTGCTTCCCACACAGCCACCACACGGCTGGGCCTCCCGGCTGCTGAGGGCTGGAGTTGGGATGTGGCAGGGCCATATGCCTCCCTGTCAGCATGTGGCACCCTTATCTTTGGGGTCGGGCCCGGGCTCCCCAAAGTCTTATGGCACAAATCTTCCTAGGGCTGGCTCCTCGTGCCAATGTCCCAGGAATACCATGCCCTGTATCTGGGCTCTGCTCCTGGCTCCCCTGCTGCCCTGTGCTGGCCCAGTTTACCCTATGGACATGAGACCCCAGACGTAACTCCCATTGGCTTTGGTGTCTTGGCACCAGCCATGAAGCCCATGCCCTGACACAGGCCTGTGGGCCCTGCTCGCCAGCTCCCCCCACCGCGACTCCTCACGGGTACCAAGTGGTGCCATCTGCAGGGCTCAGCCTGCGGAGCAGCCTCATCAAAGCGGGGACGACTGGTCAGCTCCCCTCGTGTCCTATCCACATCGCTCATACAAGGTCAACAGCATCAAGCCTGAAAAGGCATCTTCGAGCCCCAGGGTCGACTGTGGCACATTCCTTGTCACCGGAACCAGGGAGCGCTCCTGGCACGAGGTTTCTCCACCCCAGAGCTGGGGGTGCTGGGCAGTGAGGCTCAGCACAGACCAGGGCACCTGAATCACACATGGACCGCTGGGGGCTGAGGAGCAGAGACCCCAAAGGGACAAGGCAGTCAGTCACACTTGAGACCAGACAAACAGGAGCTAGGGGATCTGAAAAAAGCCCACTGAGGGGTATGCACGTGCTGCGAGAGGGGGCGCCCTGGCCCTACAGGTCACCAGGGCCGAGACCAGTGGCTGTCGCAGGGCCACCGAGCACCAGCCTACGCACTCCTCCCCAGGCGGAGATGGTCCAGGGCCGCCGTGGCTGAAACGGGTGGCCAACTGACAGTGAGGGAAACAGCACCTCAGAGAAGCCAGCTCCCATGGGGAGGGAGACCAGGGACCCCCGAAGGCAGAGCCCAGGTGGGCGTGAGGCACAGTGGGACAGCCCAGCCCATGTCCCAGTGGCCATCAGGGACCGGTTCCTTCACTTCCGAGCTAGCTTCCTGACAATGTGCGATCAGGGGATAGCAGGTGACGGCCGAAGCACTCGGGTCCCTGCGGCCCACGGGGACACAGGAGGACGCCTGGCTCAGGTGATAGGAATTAAGCTTCTAAAAGAACATAAAAGCAAGTGGCAAAAATTTGAGGTTAGGATGTTGGGAAGTTTGTCCAGCTGACCTCTGCCCGGCACTGGCACTCGAGCCACAAGCTGCTGCTTGCAGGACGAGCCTCGGCAGGAAGCTGGCTGCAGTCAGCCCCGGGACATGAACCCCGACACGCAGACGCAGGGGGCGGCAGCCCACATTCTAACTGCTACCTCAAATGCTCACCCCACAAAGTGATTACTCAAAGATGTACTGATTTGAAAGGGAGAGTGACACAGAAGGGAAGGCAAGGCCTTGTATCTCTGGGTTCGCTCCCTAAATGGCTACAGTGGTTGGGCTGGGCCAAGCTGGAGAGAGCAGCCAGGAACAGGCCGAGGGCCTGCCATGTCAGTGAGGGCTGACGGGGTGCTGGCCTCACAGGGGAGGCTTACCCGGCCATGCCGCAATACTGCCCCCCAGGTAACCTTCACAACTGGGGGCTCAGGGCAGCAGTGAAACACCTAAAGAGATTTGCTCAACCCTGTCCCAGCTCAGCTCAGAGGGCTGCTGCGCCGTGGCCTCCACGGCCCTCCCTGCCACAGGTCAGGCATGAGCTGTGCCCGTGTGCCAGAGTCGGGCAGCAGCAGCACGGGCCGTCCCCGGCGGGTCGGGGCAGCAGCAGCACGGGCCGTCCCCGGCGGGTCGGGGCAGCAGCAGCATGGGCCGTCCCCGGCGGGTCGGGGCAGCAGCACGGGCAGTCCCTGGCGGGTCGGGGCAGCACATACTTGGCACAGCCATTCAAGCAGGCTTTCTGCATGGCATCAATGGTGTAGCGGAGAAACTCGTGCGCATCCTCCTGGTTCCCGAAGCGGAAGTGCCGGGCAATCTCTGACAGAGAGGAGAGAGGGGTGAGGGCTCGGCAAGTCCCGGCTGATGCAGTCACACAGGAGCCCCTTCAAAGGGAGAGCAAGGGACCCAAGCACTCCCCAAGCGCTGTGCCTCTGGAGCACCAGCTGCCAAGGCCCTGGTCTTCTCCTGCCTCCCCGTGTCATGGAAGGGCACGCTAGCCAGCAAGGATACCAAATGCCCAGAAGAGCTGGCTTTCCGAGCACCAGCAGGCTCCGCCACGAGCCGCGCTCACCTCTTAGCACTGCGGCTGAACACAGGACCAGAAACCAATGGCACCGTCCTCCGAGCCACAGGGTGCCAGGCTCCGGGCTACGCAGGCACTGATGGCCAGGCTCACACTGCCCCACCCCGCGCACCCACAGGAAGCCTGAGCCATCCTTCACTGCCTCGGCCCTCCCACCTGCCCTGCGCCCGTTCCCATCGGCTCCCCAGGGCGCTGGGGCACGCGCAGCCTTACTTTTCAGGTCTCGGATGAAGGAGACGGGCTTGATGGCGTTGCCGCTGTTGGCGAAGGCCTGCACGATGTGGTTCTGCATGACACACAGCATGCAGAAGCCGCCCTGGTGGCCTGCAGGGAAGGGGTGGGCACTGTCAGCAGGATAAAGAGGGCACCCTGAGAGCCTGGCACTGCATCCCACTCAGTGCTCTAACTGGCAGTGCCCCGCTTCCCATGGGTCACTGAACAAGGCTGGGCAGGACGCCCTCTGCCCTCGACAGGAGGCGCTCAGTCGGCAGGCTCTCCCACAGCCCCTATGTTGGGCCTTGAACGTTCCCACCTCTGCTAGCTCCCAAGACACACTGCTTTGGCACAGCAGGGGACCAGCACCTGCTCTGTGCACACCCAGCCAGCAAAGGGCCAGCAACCCCGGGGGCACTAATATTTGGTTCACAAACCCAGGTCTATGAAGCAACTTGCTTGTTGTGGGGCATTTTTCCCGACCTATTACATTTCTACCTTCAAAGCTACTACACATTGTAAATGCAAAACTCGTGTTAAAAACTACATCCTGCAAGAAAAAATAATAAATAAAACTACATCACGGGGCCCACCATGGTAGCCTAGTGACTAAAGTCCTTGCATGTGCCGGGATCCCATATGGGTGCTAGTTTGTATCCCAGCAGCCCCACTTCCCATCCAGCTCCCTGCCTGTGGCCCGGGAGAGCAGTGCAGGACGGCCCAAAGCCTGGGGACCCTGCACCCGCGTGGGAGACCCAGAAAAAGTTCCTGGCTTCGGATCAGTTCTGGCTGTTGCAGTCACGTGGGGAGCGAATCAGCAGATGAAAGATCTTTGTCTCTCCTCTGTAAATCTGGCTTTCCAATAAAAACAAATAAAGAAAAAAACGTTTTTTTGTTTAAATAACAATTACCATTACTTTTTTCATGTTTAAATGATCTTTGTCTTTTCTATGCAAATTTATTTTTCAGACACATATTTAAATTATTTGTTTACTTGAAAGGCAGTGGGTGACTCACATCTCTTGCTCGCACACAGCCAGCTGGGTGAGGCCAGGGCTGGCGTCCAGCTCCCTGTACTGGCCAGGGGCTGGTGCTGAAGCTGGGCCACGCACCCCACGGGGGCAGAGCATCTCAACAGCCGGGCCAGCACAAGGTGACACAGGTGGGGCAACGCGACAGCCATCTATAACCTACGTGTAAGTAGAATACGTGCCAGGTGATCCCAGGTCGGTGCAAATAAGGCTTCTGTTTTGCTTTGTTTTTTTAAGATTTATTTATGTAATTTTGTTGGAAAGTCCGATACACAGAGAGGACAGAGAGGAAGATGTCCCGTCCTCTGATTCCCTCCCCAAGCGGCCTGCGACGGCCGGAACTGAGCCATTTTCTTTCCTTTCTTTCTGAATGGTTTGCTTATTTCAAAGCCAGAGACAGAGGCATTCCTTTACCTGGTTCACTCCTCACAGGCCAAGAGCCCAAGCAGGGCCAGGCTGCAGCAGCAGACAGGAGCCGGCCCAGAGGGATGCCGCACTTCGAGCTGCAGCTTGGCCTGCGGTGCCACACACGGCCCCTCAGCCGGAGTGCTAGCGGCTTACGTTCCAACGACTCCCTTCTCCTGTCCTTGCTTAGAGAACCTGAACACTGACTAAACCGAAGTCCTTCAGCTTCACACGGTTGACTTCATCAAGCTTTCCTTCGCGCTTGTTGAAAGTCTCCCACCCCAAGGACAAGAAGACCCCGACCCACGTTTCTTGGAGAAGCATCGTAAGCTCTAGGTAGCTGAGGGGCAACAGGGGCCTGGGCCACGGCTGCCAGGACCAGGCTGGGGCCGGGCTGCTCTGCTTCTCATCCAGCTTCCTGCCCACCCGAGCACCCGTGCAGGCTGTGAAGGGATCAGAGGATGAGCCAAAGGCTTGAGCCCTGCAGCCACGTGGGAGACCCAGATGGAGTTCCTGACTCCTTGCTCGGGAGCCATGGGGGCAGTGAGTCAGTGGATAGAAAAACCTGTGTCTCCTGCCCTCTGCTTCCCTTTCAAATAAATATTTTTAAAAAATTAGATCAGGACTCAGTGCAATAGCGTATTGGTTAAAGTTCTCGCCTTGAAAGCCAGGATCCCGTATAGGTGCCAGTTCTAATCCCAGTGGTCCCACTTCCCATCCCTTGTGGTCTGGGAAAGCAGTCGAGGATGGCTCAAAGCCTTGGGACCCTGCACCCACGTGGGAGACCTGGGAGAGGATCCTGGCTCCTGGCTTCAGATAGGCTCAGCTCCAGCTGTTGCGGCCACTTGGGTAGTGAAGCATCAGATGGAAGATCTTCCTCTATGTCTTTCCTCCTTTCTGTATATCTGCCTTTCCAATAAAAATAAATCTTTAAAAAAAATTGGGGCCCGGCACAGTGGCGCAGTGGTTAAGGTCCTCGCCTTGCACGCCCGGGATCCCATATGGGCACCAGTTCTAATCCCAGCGGCCCCGCTTCCCATCCAGTTCCCTGCCTGTGGCCCGGGAAAGCAGCAGAGGACGGCCCAAAGCCTTAGGACCCTGCATCCGCATGGGAGACCCAGAAGAGGCTCCTGGCTCCGGGTCGGCATAGTATTGGCCGTCGCACTCACTTGGGGAGTGAAACATCGGATGGAAGATCTTCCTCTCTGTCTCTCCTCTCTGTATATCTGCCTTTCCGATAAAAATAAAATAAATCTTTAAAAAAAAAAAGTTGGGATCAAAGATATACAAGTAAGATGCTCAGAGATTTAAAAATCCTTTACATTACATAAATAAGTACTGGATTGTGTGAAAATCCACAGTGCAACACCACAACCCTGAACACATGCCCACAAGCTGTGGGTCAGCCCACGCAGAGCAGGCCAGAGCGTGGCCACGGCTGAGCCCACGCAGAGCAGGCCAGAGCATGGCCACGGCTGAGCCCACACAGAGCAGGCCAGAGCGTGGCCACGGCTGAGCCCACACAGAGCAGGCCAGAGCGTGGCCACGGCTGAGCCCACGCAGAGCAGGCCAGAGCGTGGCCACGGCTGAGCCCACGCAGAGCAGGCCAGAGCGTGGCCACGGCACTGCAGCCTGTCGCCTCAGAGCCTTAGCGCATGCTTCAAGCCTTTTCCTCCCTACAGAAACTTCATTCATTTAATCTTTCTACCAAGGTTTATTATTTTCACCTCAAAATGACAGAGCAACAGATTGCACTGACTCATTCCTCAAACACGGGCAGCTGGGGCGGGGCTGGCCTGAGCCAGGAGCCAGGAGCCAGGAGCCAGGAGCCAGGAGCTCCGCACGGCTGGCCTGAGCCAGGAGCCAGGAGCTCCGCGCGGCTGGCCTGAGCCAGGAGCCAGGAGCTCCACGTGGGGCTCCCGCGGGGCAGGTGGGGCTGAAGGTCTGAGTCCCAGGACACCCTAGGCAGCAGTAGGGCCGGAAGTGGAGCCAGGACCTTGCCCCAGGCGCTCCAGCGTGGGCCGTGGGGATCCCACCAGGCAGCTGGGCCCCTGCTCCCCAGTGCTCTTCCACACAGCTGAGAATCACCCAGAGGGCATGGCCTCGGCACAGCAGAGTGGCGAGCACTCACCTCCCGGACACCACATCCCCCAGGAAGGCGGCTGTCGCCCCTCCCGTGTCACTGCTTCCCCTCACCAAGCCTGCAGATGGCCTGCTGCGTGTGGCTGGGCAAGGCAGGCAGATCGAGGCGCGCTGCTCACGGCTGTGCTTTCTGCGAGGAATACCCCCACATACCTGCCGCTGCTGCCCCTGGGATCCCCAACACGGCACCTTCCCTGGTCTCTCCCATTCCCACTCCTGCCCTGAGAGCTCTGGAGTCATGAATCTGGGTCGGGTGACTTCTCTCCTTCGCTTTATTAACACAGACACAACCAGTGAGCTACATGCCCAGTGTGACTGTGCACTCAGAGAGCTTGGCGCCCCCCCACGGCACAGCACCCCTGCCAAGGCCAGGTGCTGACTGGGCATCCTCACGGGACCACCTTCCCAGGAAGACGCACCCGGCGGCTCACAGAGCCTCCCAGCATCGTGTCTAGAATGGCCACAGCTACGCCAGGCGTAAGACTGCCAGGGTCAGACTCGCCACTAGCCCGTGCCCCGATTCCACCCAGAGCCCCAGTGCCTGCACTTCACTGGCCCTCAGTGCTCCTACGGTTACCCTGGGCATGGCCCACATCTCCGTGGAAGCCACGGCTGCAACAACAGAGAATCACCAAGTTCCCGTATGTCAGAGGGATCTTGGGAAACCCTGCTTTCTGTGTGGCTACTCAGGTCAGCAAGTGCGGAGAGCGCAGGCCCCTGCAGCAGGAACCACTCGGCCTCCGGAGCCCCACTCTGTCCCCGAGCCCCACTCGGCCCCCTGCAGCAGGGCCCACTCTGTCCCCGAGCCCCACTCGGTCCCCTGACCCCCACTCGGCCCCCGAGCCCCAGCTCACTCACAGCTGCGCGCATGCTCCTGGGAGAGCAGGTAGTTGGCCAGCGGCGGCGTGTAGGTCAAGCACTGCACGGTGGAGTTCAGGAAGCAGGTGTTGCCCAGGTTGTGCAGGCCGGCGCCCACGCGGAAGACGCGCTCCCACCGCAAGGACAGCCGCTCCGTGGGGAAGAGCACTTTCTGGGGGGCTGGCACCCCGTCACTGCCATCCTCAAACACATGCTCGCTGCCTGAGGAAGGCCCAGGACAGACAGGGATCCTGAGGCCCGGCACGCAACCGCTCAGGCTGTTCCCCAGGAGCCCGCAGTTGGCCTGGACTGCTGGGGCGTGGCACCCAGGGCCTCCTGTGGGTGACAGGGCCCGTGGCGCCTGGGATCCTAGAGCACCCAGCCGGAGGGGGCGTCAGCTGCCTGGGAATTCCTCCGAGCACACGGCACAGGCCCGCCTGCAGGTGGGATCCTCGCCCCCGCCCACGCGTCATTCCGTACCGGCTCTCCCGGCTGGGGGCTCCTCTCCACTCTTGGGGCGGCCGTCTCCCTCGGTCCTGGCGTTCAGTAACACATACTTGCTCTTCAGGGAGTCCAGCTGGTAGGAGAAGCTCCGGGCGGCCGGCTCAAACTCGATCCTCTGCAGCAGGACCTTCCTGGCGGAGGTGGCCAGCAGCCTGGCCAGCTCCCCATCGCCGGCCGGCTCCTTCCGGCCAGGCTTCAGGGCTTCCCGCAGCTTATCAACTATCGGCATGGTGCATCACTGTGGGGACAGAGGGCCCCGGGCGTCAGGGCCCAGTCAGCTACCTCGGCGCTGCACGGGCCTGCCGGGGTCAGCCAGCAGGACCCGGGGAGTGCAGAGCAGGGAGTCCGCCACTCGAGTGGGCCCCCAGGCTCCACGGCCCACAGCAGACACTCAGCAAGGCTCTGGCCAGACGGTGTGCACTCAGGATTACTCAAAAATAGGGCAGCACTAATTCTCACACGCACACAGGCCCATGCGGTCACATAACGCACACGCAAGCCAGCCTGGCACTCCAGCCACCGCACATGGGGAAGACCACAGCTCACACGTGGATACCGAGCCCACGCAGCGGGCTGTTAACAGGCCTGCAGGAACTTTTTTTCTTTAAAACGTTTTTTTACTTTCATTGCAAAAACAGATTTCGAGAGCAGAAACATACACAACAACCTTCTAGCTCATTCCTCGACAGCCGAGGGTAAGCTGACCCACAGCCAGGGGCCAAGAGCACCCCTGAGTCTCCCAGGAGGGTCCAGGGTCCTGAGGAGTCATCCTCCAGCGCTTGCCTAGGCCACAAGCCAGCACCCACGTGGGATGCCAGTGCCTGCAGGTGCAGGGTTAGCCCACTGAGTCCTGGCGCTGGCTCCAGGCCTGTGTAACTACGAAGCACACACCAAGGGCTGGCGATGTAGTGTAACAGGTAAAGCTGCCACCTACAGCGCCGGCACCCACACGGGCACCAGTTCAAGCCCCAGCTGACCCACTGTGATTCACTCCCCGCTGACGTACCTAGGAAGGCCTCGGACGGTGACCCCACATGGGGGACCTGGGAGCAGCATCCAGCTCCAGGCGTGGGCCTGGCCCAGCCCCACTCCCCGCGGTCACCTGAGGACTGAACCTCTGGCTGCTGTGGCCATCTGGGGAATGAACCAGCAGACAGGAGACCTTTCTCTGTTTCTCCTTCTCTCTTTCTCTCACAAGTAAATACATAAAAAAGAAAGAAAGCATACACAGGGCGGACGCTCAGGAGCGCCAGCCTGGCCGGCCTCATAAGGGCACCTTCCAGCGCGCCACCCGCTCTGCCACCCACTCCCCTGCCTTCTCCTCCTCTGACGGTGTAGGCATGAACTTAAACATGAGGAGGCAGAGGGGGAGAACGGGGCAAGGCAACAGCGGGGGGGGGGGGTCCCAGGCTGAGGGATGTCCCCACCACGCCCTTACACTGTATATTCAAGGCCAAGGCCATTACTCTCTAGGTCTCAACTTCTTCTCCTAGAGAACAGGACCAATAGAGCTCAAAAGGCAGGGAGAGGAGGGACAGCTGGGCAGAGCCCAACTCCAGCTCCCAGCTGGTGCCCAGGTGCGAATGCATGGAAAATGCCACAAGGACAGTCTCCTGCGGGCACACAGAACCTCCCGTCACCGCCTTCTGCCCCACCCGCCAGGTCTCAGCTGCAACAGCTCAGCAACCCTGAGACGGCTCAGGGCCCAGTCCCGGAGCCAGCACCCTGACCAGCAGCCAGCTGCAGCCCTGGCATCCCCTACAAGGTGGCGGCTGAGTTACTGGCCTCTGGTCACGTCCGTGGGGCCTGAGCCCCCAGCTCCAGCTTTAGCTGTGGACAATGAGGCTGGCAGACACAAGTCCTGCCTGTTCTCCATGCAAATCAGTCAGTACCACTCTTCAACAGAGGCGCAGACATTCTCTGGGTTTCACGAATTCATTTATTTACAAGATGAGACTGGTGTTGTGGCACAGTGCATTAAACCACTGCCTGCAGTACCACCACTGCTCCACTTCCCACCCAGCTCCCTGCCAATGTGCCTGGGAAAGCAACAGCAGATGGCTCAAGTCCCTGGGCCCCTGCATCTACATGGGAGACCTGGATGAAGCTCCTGACTTCTGGCTTTGGCCATGGAGGCCATCTGTGGAGTGCAACAGTGGAAGGAAGACTTCCCTCAATCTCCCTGCAACTCCGACTTGAAAATAAACCTTCAAAGCAGCAGACAGACCAGGTTGGGCTTGCGTCACAGCCAGGGGCCCGACCCAGGGCTCTCATAAGGGCTGCAGGAGCCCAATACTTGGCCATTGCTGGGTCATCCGCTGGTCTACACTGCAGGAAGCTGAAGGCAGGAGGCAGAGTTGGAGTCCCAGCCCAGGATCCCAGGGCAGGCCACCGGCACCCTCACCCTCCAACACCCCAAACAGGCAGCCACCAGCACACTCACCCCCGACACCCCAAATGACAGGCAGCCACCAGCACGCTCACCCCCAACACCCCAAATGACAGGCAGCCACCAGCACGCTCACCCTGACACCCCAAACAGGCAGCCACCAGTACGCTCACCCCCAACACCCCAAATGGCAGGCCCAGCCCCTGCAATCACAGCAAGGAAACGCCTCTCCTGGGAAAGTACCTAAACGCTCTCCCCAGCCCAACACCCCTGTGGGCCAGCCGCTGCAGATGGGCTGAGGCTGCGGGCCCTGCCGCTCCCCTAGGCCATGTGGCCAAGCTGGTGGTTCTCCGCCACCTGCAGCACTGTGCAGTGACCGCCAGCCCATCACCTCGGGGAAGGCCTCCTCATCACCCAGGCTGTGGGGTCAGGGTGGGCCTGGAGAACCAGCAGCACCAACAGGCCTCGGACTTCACCATGGACACCCGTGCCCTCACCGGGGAGACATCATGAAATCGGGGTACCACCTGCTAGTCAACTCTTGCCCAAGTCTCATTTCCTAGGAGCAACCAGTGTGCAGCACCTAATGTTTCCATTCCACCAACTAACGGAAAGTAACCACTCAGCAGAGGCAACAGGGTTGCCCAATTGTTACCTGAAAGCCGTAGGATTCTCTCATTAACCGCCACCTTCCCACACTGCACTGCGAGCAGTGCTTTTGGGGTGCGCTGGCAGGGGGTGAGACCAGGATCCACATCCCAGCTTCCCATCCGTCTGCTGCCTGCCAAGGCCACCTGGGAAGGCGATGGAGCAGCGCCCATCCTCGGCCATCCACATGGGACACCACACTCGGGGCCCAGCTGCCCTCCCCATCTATCATTCCCTATCCACCCCAGGCCTCCCGGGGGCGCCTCCCGTCCCGGGCACCCAAGGACTCCCCAGGGCGCACCCCGTCCCTACCCACTCCAGGCCTCCCCGGGTCGCATCCCGTCCCGGGCACCCCAAGGTCTCGCCCGGGCACAACCCGTTCCTGTCCCCCCAGGCCTCCCAGGGGCGCACCACGTCCCGGGTATCCCAAGGACTCCCCAGAGCGCACCCGATCCAGGGTACCCCAAGGCGCATCCTGTCCAGGGCACCCCAGGCCTCCCGGGGGCGCATCCCGTCCCGGGCACCCCAAAGCCTCGCCCGGGCACAACCCGTTCCTGTCCCCCCCAGGCCTCCCGGGCGCGCACCACGTCCCGGGTACCCCAAGGACTCCCCAGAGCGCACCCCATCCAGGGTACCCAAAGGCGCATCCTGTCCAGGCCTCCCCGGGCGCCCCCGTCCCTGTCCACCCCAGGCCTCCCCGGGCGCCCCCTGTCCTTGACCACCCCAGGCCTCCCCGGGGCGCCCCCCGTCCCGGGCACCCCAAAGTGCACCCCGTCCCCGGCATCCCAGGGTCCCTGTGTGACGACAGCGCGCCCGGCTCGGCACGAACTCCTGAGGTTCCTGAGCCGCCCGGCCCGCGCCCCGCGGCCCCGCGCCAAGCGCCCCCAGGCCTCCCGGCCCGCCCGCGCCCCGCGTCCCCGACCCCGGCCTACCCAGGATCCCCGCGGGGGCCGCGGCAGCCGCGCGGCGCTGGCCTCTCTCCGGCTCGCAGCTCCGCACGCGCACCATCCGGGCCTCCGGCGCCTCACACACGTGTCACAGCCGCGCTTAAAGGGGCCGCGCTCGGCCACCGCGCCGCGCTCGCGCCCAGAGGTCCCAGGAGCCTTTTAGGAGGCGGGGCGAACGAGCCTCGACGTCACAGCCAGCAGCCTACGCGGTGACGCCAGACGCAGCGCCCAGGCCCACGCGCCCTGAGTCGCCGCAGAGCACGTGATGCGCCGCACTTCCGGGTCGGCGCCCGGTCGGGAGCTACAAGATGGCGGCTTCCGTGCAGAAGCTGATGGTGCGCCACGCGCTGCGGGCCCCACGCTCCCCGTGCGCGGTTGTGGGTCCTGGCGGGGCTGCGGCGTCCCGCAGCTGGTCAGAGCCTGCCCTGGTTCCTACTGCTGTGTTTTCTGGGCTCTCACAGTCCTTGTCGGCGTTCGATGACCAGGCACATCAGGCAGTGCAACTTTTTTTTTTTTAGTTATTTGAAGGAGAACTCTTCCACCTGCTGGTTTACACCCCAGATCTGATCCAGGATGAAGCCAGGAGCTTCCTGCGGGTCTCCGATGCGGGTGCAGGGTCCCAAGGCTTTGGGCCGTCCTCCACTGCTTTCCCAGGCCACAAGCATCAGAAATGGAACAGCTGGTCTGGAACTGACCCCCATATGGAATACTGGTGGCAGCTGTCCGTGCTGTGCCACAGTACCACCCCCAGAGTACCATACCCTGCGAGGCTCACTGTAGGAGGGTCCAGGGTTAAAGTCACTGTTTGGACACTTGTCCGCTGTCCTGCAGTGGTGGACTTGGTGCACGGAACAGATAATAACCCTTCACCTGGGCTCCCAGCGCCCTGAGAAGGCTCCTGGACCCCTTCCTGCCTGCCGCTAGGTGGTAGCGCTCCCTGGACCCTGTTCCCCTTGCCCTTGTGACTTCAAGGCCTGCTCTGGTTGCAGGTCCAGTTCCCGGACCTTCACATGGGCAGCGCAGTGTCTCAGGGCGTGTCCGGCTGCGTGGAAGCCAGTAAGCCAGGATGTCTGCCGTCGTCCCCTCGGCTTTTCTCAGAATGTTCAAGACGGAAAGGCTGTGGTGCTGTCTGGGGGAGCCCCCTTGGCCTGGCTCCCCCTCTGGGGTCAACCAGCAGTGATGACTGTGGGACCCTGGTGGGCACAGAGACTGGAAGCTTCCCTCCCAACCATGAGAGTAGCAGTCTGCTAAGAGACGAGAGAGACGAACAGATGGAGTCGCCCTCGGCCCACACGCCTGGTGCTGGCAGTGCTCAGGTCTGTGTGTCAGTCACCTAATGAGACAGCCTTGGGGACGGGATCTGAATCTGAACATGAAGCTTCCCCGTGTCGCCCTTGCCACGCGTCCTTCAGGCAGCCTGAAGGTTACGCTGCACGGCATTGCTGGTAACTTACAGGAAGCACAGAGTCACCCTCGAGGTCTGGTGTGAACGCTATAACCCAGGATGCCTGTGGATGCTGACTTGTTTTTAAAGCTTTGTTTTCACTAACTTGTAAAGGTGAACTGAGCTCCCTTCTGCTGACTCACCCCCCACATGCCTGCAGGAGCCTGCACTGGAGCCAGGGGCCGGAGACCGGCCAGGTCCCCCACATGGTGGCAGGGGGCCGGCACTTTGGCCCCCATCTTGTGCCCTGCAGGTGTGGTAGCAGGAATGAGGACCAGAAGCAGAGCAGCCAGAGCCGGGGCACAGGAAGTGGGCGTCCCGATGGTGTGTGCTAGCCACAGCATCAGCCCCAAGCTTTAGGATGGGGGTGCTTGTCCTGCATGAACCCGTTGCAAAGCGGGGCTCCTACTTGGATCCTGCCTCAAATCACTAAGCCATTAAGAACACTTGTGTGACACAGACACACGTGACGCCATATGATATCAGTCGGTGACATGAATGGGTTGATTCTAAGTTCTTAAGGTACAGTGAAGGTATTTTAAAAGTGTTCTTGGGGCCCGGCACGGTAGCCTAGCAGCCAAAGTCCTCGCCTTGAACGTACCAGGATCCTATATGGGCACTGGTTTGTGTCTCAGCTGCCCTGTTTCCCATCTTCTGGCCTGGGAAAGCGGTAGAGAGTGGCTCAAAGCCTTGGGACCTGCACCCATGTGGGAGACCCAGAGGAGGCTCTAGGCTCCAGGCTTTGGTTTGGCTCAGCTCCAGCTGTTATGGCCACTTGGGGACTGAACCAGTGGACAAAAGATCTGTGTCTCCTCTTCTGTATATCCAACTTTGCCATTAAAAAAAAAAAGTGTTCTTAAAAATAGTTCTTACTCTTTAGACACGTGTGCTAAAATACTTACAGATGAAACATGCATGCAGTTTTTCCTGCCATGGTCAGGATGGAGGGGTGGGGCTGTGCCAGGAGAGTGAACGCGGCCGCTTACCCTGTGTGTTAAAACCCCCTTCATAAAAGTGGAGCCTGGGGCCTGGTTCTGGCATACACCTGCAACGCCGGCATCCCGTGGAGGTGCTGCTTCAATCCTGACTCCTCCACTTCTGAAGCTCCCGGGAAAACTGCACAAGTTGGCACCAGGCACTTAGGCCCTAGCACCCACATGGCTTCTGCCTGGCCCAGCCACTTGGGAAATGAAGCAGTGGGTGGAAGAGCTCTCTGACTCCAGATTTCAGATAAATAGATCTTTAAAGCTGAATGACCCAAGGGGGTCCAAACCAACAGTGCCACCTGTGCCCACTGAAGGAAGCCACATTCGCATCTGCACCCCATGCTGGCCTCTTCCGGGAGGGGTCCCTCTGCTGGTGCTTCTCCCCCAGCCTGGGGCCAGATACAGCCACACAGAGAGCCAGCGTTCTCTGATAACATTGTTTATTATCCATTGACTGAGCGATCACAGAATGATACAAAGCGGCAGAGACATGCAGAGTCGGCTCGTGCACGCATTCCCAGCACTTGGTATTCCAGCCTCAACCCACTGCTCCCCAACACCAACATCACTTTAAATTACGGCAGCAAGTCCCAGAGGTCTTAATACTTATCGAGCAAAGAGCTGAACGTAGCTACAATGTAAACTTCATTTTAAACATGTTGTCTGCGTGATGGGAACGGAGCAGTGCTTAGGACATAACATTTAAATTAAACAGCGCCAGATGGAGATCCAGCTGCAGCAACAGGTACACGGGCAGCGTGGCCGCCACCAAGTCACGCAGCATGGGTCGGGCTGCCGCGGCTGCTTCCCCCTGCTGAGCTTTCTGGCTGTTTTTGGTCTGCTCAGCATTCAGCATGGTCAGAAGCTCAATGTGCATGGATCGGACATCAAGGCCATCTTTGAAAGCCAACTTCTCCAAAGCTTTACTTTGAAATAATTGGAACCAGAGACAGTGGTGGGGAGGGAGGCGGGAGAGGGAATTACAGAAAGCAGGACCTGCCGGCCCAGACCAGCTCCAGCGCCACGCCCTGCTCCTTTGAAAGTGCAAAGGCGAACACCTAACCCAGGGCGACGAGACGGCAGGGAGCAGCACGGACGCCAGAAACCAACCCCAACTCGGCAGAAGCAGGGACCCAGGCCACACGGGATGTCACCATACACGAAGAAGACAGGGTGGCTGTGCGACCCACATAGGAATCCCAGCGAGTGGTCCACTGAGACCCTACGCAGACAGACACACCTTCGGGTAGGGCTGGAGCCGGGGGCCTTCCAGTCGGCCTTGGACAGGGGAGTCCTCCCGAACTGTGCTGAGCTGGCCCAAGGGTGGGGTCACTGCAGAATGGGACAGCCAGGAAGATGGCAACTTGGAAAGCATCGGTGGACGGGCCACACGCAGGCTGCCAGGCTTCGGGCTCATGATCTGCACGTACGTGTGTGCGTGGGCATGGCCACTCTGAGCACACCCGTGTCCTTGGGACACTTTCTCTACAACGTGGGTGGGAGGGGAAAAGACGGACCTTCCTGTCACTGAGCATGCTCTGCTGTGTTAACCCCCGTTCTTGGCACCAGAAAGCAAGTCAGTCCCCCGCAGATGTACTCAAACTACGTCATCTTGGCAATGCCAGGAACAGAGCCAGAGGCGGCATCCCCGTGAGCGGCTTACACAGGCACAGAGAGCTCATCCCCACAGAAGCGTCACGTAAGTCAGGCCTCGGTGTCCCCGCCACCAGGCTCCCCTCCCCATGTGGGACATGACCCGCCTGCAGAGACCCGCACACGATACCCCCGCTCTACTGCAGCTGTGCGGGCACAGCCAGCCCCTGGAGCCAGCCACAAGCAAGCCCGGGGCCTCCCAGATGCCGGCTGTGGGAACCGAGAGGACAGGAACAGGAGGATCTGGCTGACGCTGCATGTGGTTTGAAAGGGCATCTACTTCCACGACAAACCCAGGACCTGTGAACTCATAGGATTAACCACGGCTGCAGGGCCGCCCCCAAAACCGGGGCGGCCACAGGTGCCGAGGAGTCAGGAAGACACTAGGGTAATGGGGTGACGCGCAGGGGGCAGGGGCTCCCTGGGTCAGAGGGCCGGCTGCTGCAGAGGACGAGGGACCCGGTAGGCCTGCTACCAGTCTCACAGAGGCCCTCGGACGTTTCCGCAACAAGTGTGCTTCCAGGCTGGGAAGACGCCCCAAAGCGCCACCTGCTTGGCGTGGGCCTGGGCGGGGGAAACTCCGGGAGTCCATGACTGCCCCCTGCCTGCGCCCGGAGCCAGCAGGCCGGGCGGGCAGTCGGGCAGGTGGGAGGAGCACCCAGCCGTGCCTCCAGAGGCTCAGGCACGTGGCAAGGAGCGGGGTGGGGGCAGAAGCACGCTGATGTGGGCCCGCGTGGGTGACAGTTTTATTCATGCTGTTTCCAGGAAGGGGTATTGAGCTGCACCCTTGGTGGTTTCGCCCTTGGCCGTGGGGTGCTGGTGGCGGCGGCGGCCTACGGGTCCTCGATATCCAGGAACTCCTGCTTGGGGGGCGCCGCCCCGCGGTACCACGCACAGGAGCCGTCGCTCCTCTTGATGCAAGCGAAGAACTTGGCCTGGTGCCCGTTAATGTTCTTCTCCGTGACCCAGTCCATCCAGAGGCACTCGTCCGGCGAGGAGATGTAGCACGGGGTCATGGGGCAGCGCGTGATCTGCGGGGGACACCGGCGGGCGGCCTTAGTCGGACGGCCTGCATCCCCCCGCTGGACCCTCCCCGCCTCACCTCCCGCACCTGCTCTGAGCCAACCTCCCAGCACTCACGGTAGGCCGCCTGGGCCCCACTAGACACAGTTTTGCTTTCTTCCTCAGATTGGTTTACTTATTTGAAAAGCAGAGTGACAGAGGAAGGCAGGCAGCTGCACAGATAACCACGCCTCCATGACAGCCAGCGCCAGGCCAGCCTGAAGCCAGGTCTCCCTCAGCTGGGAGGAGGCCCTGGCACCTGAACCATCGCCTACTGCCTAGCAGGCACATCAGCAGGGAGTGGGGGGCTTCACCTGCTGTGCCAGTGTGCAACCGCAGTGCCCCTCCCAGGCAGAGCCCCAGCTCATCCTGCAGCGCAGGCTCCAAGGTGAGTGGCGGTGCTATCTTGGCAATGGGGAGAGCGTGGCAGGGTCATGCAAAGGGGCTGGTCGCGGCCACTGCGGCCACTGCTGCTGCGGGTGACCTTCCAGGGGACTCAGGCTGGGAAAGGACACCCGACCCTGCGGCCCCTCCCGTGGTGCTGTGCGGCAGTTACGTGGACCCATGCTTGGAAACTTCTAGAATGTTGTGGACAGCACAACGCCTAGGTGGCTGTCACGAGGCCATGAGACCAATGTCCCTTGCTCTCAGAATTTCCCTTCCTTGAAGGCTTCTAGAAGCTTCTGGGCTGCATGAGCAGCTCTGAACACTTTCCCTGCGTTCCTCGGTAGACGTGCACTCAGGACAATCTGGGGACCACAGGCTCCCTGGAGAGGGGCCGGCAGCATCAGGGAGCAGAAGCGAAGCTGGCGGGGCCGAGGCAGAGTCCCGGCAGTCGGCGTCCACTCACCTTGCACTCGCAGCCCATCTGGTACCTGTGGTTCAGGCTCTTCTTCTGCGTCGTGCTCAGCGAGTCCCAGGGCACGATGAAGTCACACAGCGTGACGTGCATCTTGCCGTCACCCTCGGCTTTGCCTGCGGACAGAGCGTATCGCGGCTCAAGGCGCTGAGCCTGAGCTCCGGCCAGCCTGCGGGCCTGACCACTTGTTCGTTGCTGAGAAGTGAGACTGGAACCAAGAGACTCATCTTTGCTCCACGGTTCATGCCCCAGGCGCCCCTAACAGCGAGAGGCTGGGCTACACCCAAGCCAGCGGCCTAGACTCCCAGCCGGGCCTCTTCCACAGGCGGGGCGGAGGCCGAAGCCCTGCTGCATTCCCAAGAACACCAGCAGAAGGGATCCAAAGCAGGGGCCTGGGGACTCGAATCTGGGCCCAGGCTGGACATTCTTACCACGGGCCCAGCACCGACACCCCTCTCTGCCGCCTCTCTGAAGCACTTCGCTTCTGCAGCAGATCCGAAGCAGGAACGGCGGGGGCTGCAGGCCTCGGTAACCAGCTCCCTGCATGGCAGGACTAATTACTCCAAGTCCCTCGGCAGCAGGAACAGGTGCCTGCCCTGGTCAGTGTTTCCTGCTGGGCCTCTTATAGCCAGCCCCAGCTTTCCAAGAAGGCAGGGGAAGGCAGGAAGGGCTGGTGACACACTGCATACCCCCTCGGCGCCCCCTGATAAGGAGCGGTGCAGCCACTGGGAGCCCTGAGAGGACCCACTTTGGGAAGCAGTGCTGTGGCACAATGGGTTAAGCCACCGCTGCCTGGCACACGCATGGAAGAGCAGGGTGGCGCAGTGGCCTGTGTCAGCCGGGCCTAGTCCCGGGTGCTGGTGGCCTGTCTGCAGACTGAGCGAGCAGACAGAACATCTCTCTCCCTCTCCTCTCTGTAACTCTGCCTTTCAGATAAACAATCTTTACAAAACTAGTCCATTGTGTGTGTGATGAAAACGCAGTTGGACACGCAGGCCAAAGCATCTGTTACAACATCCTGCTTAAAAAAAAAGAAAAAACAGAGCCTGAGTTTGGAGATGGAAAAAACAAGGACTAATTAAAATGCGTAACCAAGGATGCTTGTATGTTTATTCCTGATCTGAGAAAGACGACCACGCCCCAGCCTGCAGCATTTCCTGGACGCAGTGCCACAGGGCCAGGGCCGCACGTGGGGAGAGGGCTGAGCAGGCTGGCATGCTGGCTCTGGCTCCAGGAGGGCTGCAGCATCTGCTTCTGGCCCACCCAGCTGTGCCTTCAAGGGAAGCTGGACCAATGCGCCTGGGGAAGCAGTGGAGGCTGGCCCAAGTGCTTGGGTCCCTGCAAACCACATGGGAAACCCAGCTGGCTGGAGCTCCTGGTTCCTAGCTTCAGCCTGGCCCGGCTCCAGCCGATGAAGCCATCGGGGGAGTGAACCAGCAGAGAGGGGGTCAGAGCTGTCCCTCCCTCACTGTAACTCCGCCTTGCAAATCAATAAGACGGTCTCAGCCAGCAGGCATCTGTGACCAGGGAGCCCAACATCTCGGGGGGCCCCTGTTCTCATCCTCACCCCAACCTTGCAAGGCAGACACTCCTGTCACTGTGCCCTGGCAGGTGCACCCAAGTCAAGTGTCCTAGTACAGGACAGCAGCTAGGCAGGTACCAGAGCTGGGACATGCAGCAGGTGGGAGGGTGAGGCACGAGGGGCACTGCCAGGAGCTGGGGGGACAGGTGGGGCATGGCACAGGGGGCACTGCCAGGAGCTGGGGGGACAGGTGGGAGGGTGAGACATGGGGGCACTGCCAGGAGCTGGGGGGACAGGTGGGGCACGGCACGGGGGGCACTGCCAGGAGCTGGGGGGGCGGACAGGCACTGGCAATCTCTGGAAATTGGTAGTTAGGCAGCACTGAGTACATCGTCATTATTGTCGCTATTTGAGGATTGATTTATTTGAAAGGCAGAGTTGCAGAGAGAGAGAGACAGGTCCTGCATTTGCTATTTCAACTCCCTCCATGGCCACAATGACTGGGCCAGGAGCTTCTTCTGGGTCTCCGATGTGGGTAAGAGGGCCCCTGGCGCGTGGACCACCATCTGTTGCCCTCCCAGGGGCACCAGCAGGGCGCTGGGTCAGCAGTTACAGTAGCCAGGACTCCAGCTGTTTGTCACCTACACGGGATGCCTGGCATGGCACGCTAAGCAGATTCCCTACAGAGCACACACTGCGAAAGGTCCCTGTGATTTGTTGAAGGGCAGCTGAAATGCCTACAAGTGCCGTTTAGCAATCTCACACGTCTTCCTGGCTGACAGCAGAAACGGAAACGCATGGCATGTAAAACCCCTCTCGGTGCAAACCGGTCCTGAGGTCTGCGTGGACGTGGTACCCCTCTGGTGCAGTCACTCAGTGCCCTCAAGAGCAAAAACGGCCACCTGAGAGCGGCCCGGCAGCCCGCGTCTCCCGGCTCTCCACCTCAGGAATCGGGCAGCCCGCGTCTCCAGGCTCTCCACCCTCAGGAGTCATGGCACTCCGTCGGGACACAGGCGTCTCCCTGCTGCTGGCAAGGCACACTCCTCCCCAGCAAGCCAGACAAAGGCCACGCATGGGCCCGTCCATGGCCCTACCGTGCCCAGGCCTGGGACCTCAGGCATCCTGGGGCTCCCTGGGGAAGTGTAACGGAGGCAGCAGCTTGAGCCACACACCTTGGGGTCCCTGGTAACATGGCTCCTGACTGCTGGACACTACCCAGCTCTTGGGCGCACGTGCCTGGGGGCCAGGCCTCCCAGACATGCGCTGACCAGCTAGGGGCCAGCTCTGCGAGGTCTTCCTCTACCTAGAGGGACAGTTCCCCAGAGACACTGGCTTAGCCCCCTGGCTGTATGCTGGACTCCCGAGGGAGAGTGAAGGCTGCAGCCTGAGCGTCTACTTGAATTGTTCTGGGGTTCAGTCTGGCCATCAGGGGATTTTACAATCTCTAGGGAGCCACAAGCGGCAAGGGCGTCTCTGCAAATGGGCCCCCAGCCCCTCTCTGAGTTCCCGTGGCGCTGCAGTTTGACCACAGGCCTCTAGAGGGCAGTGTGGGCATCCTGGGAACGGGAGGCGGCTGGCTCCCAGGTGCACCTGCTGGGTACCCCACTAGACCTCCGTCCTTGCTCTCAGGCCCCCACCCATCTCTCCATCTGAGTACATTCTTCTTGTTGAAAGAACAATAGAAACTGGAAATGCAAAAATGGCATAGCTCCTTCAGAGACTTATCTGTACAGCTTCCCAAGAGGCCCCCAGGCCCGCCCTGACCTTCACTCCAGGAAGCCCCGAGAACCCAGGAACCATGACCACGTGACTGTGTGCACACAGCGCCCCTTCCCAGCCATGGCCGCAGCAGCTGCCCGCTAAGAGGGTGGCCAACACCCACAGCCCTGTGGATGGGTTTCCCGGGCAGGCGAGGTCCCCATCTTCCTTCCCGGTGTCACAGTGGGGCCAGGAGCCAAGCCGTGGCTGCAGGCTAGCTATGTGTCCCCAACAGGGCCCTGGGGAAAGTCGCTGCCCACACCCACCTGCAATGAGGTACTCCTTCTTGCCGCCCATGTCCAGCGACACGCCGCACACGGCCGAGGAGGGGGCCGTGTAGATGAACTCGATGTCTTTGTCAGGCCCCTTGAACATCTGCAGAAACAAAGAGAAGACGGCTGAAGGCCAGCTGCCCAGCGGCCAATGCCACTCCCACCCACAACACCCCAAGACAGCCGAGCGGAAGGAGGACCCAGGCCCATGCCAGCCCGGCAGGCTAGCAGACGACATCACTCCTTAAGGGTGAGTCTGGGGTCTGTGTTCTGCCTGATGCCCCCACACCATCCACCTCTGGGTTGCTACTGAACTTGGGGACCAGTGTCTCCCCATGAGTCCGCTGCCACACAGGGGCAAGCCCCTACCGTCCCAGGAGCCCTGATGGGACGTGATCCCGTCCCCTGCGGAAAGGGGCTCCGAGTGGCCTACAGAGGGCTTCCTTCCCTTAAGGGAGCCCTGGGAGGGGCCTCTTAGTCCTGTTTTCCCAGAGTCTCCACGAGCACACCCAGGTGGGGCAAGTTCATCTGTAAGTTTGTGACCGTGACCAAGCAGCTCCACTCCACCCACGCCCACACACAACATCCTCTCTGCCCCTTTGGCAATCCCAGATGAGGTCATGGCACAGCCCTCTACTTCCTGTTTCCCGTCTCCCCAAGGGGACAGGGCCTTCCACGGTCCACCCCTCCTGACTTAACACCGTGCCACGACTGCTCCGCGGTAGGAGCCGCCCGCTGCCCCGGGCTGGGCTGGTCCTGCGGCCAGTTTCATCAGCCACTGCCCCGCGGGGCAGCCCCCGGCACGCCGCCCCAGCCGGACATGGGCTCACCTTGATCTGCTTGATCTCATACTGGATCCTCTTGATGGGATTGCCGTAGATGTCATTCCCAGAGTCCACCTCCTTCTCGCTGACCGCTTTGGCCCTGATCACTACAACACAGAAGACATGCAGTGGAGACACTTCTGGAAAGATCCTCCCGGCCCCAGGGCGGCGGCGGGGCGTTCAGGCCTGCAGGAGGAGCTGGATGGGCACCATGACCCCACCCAGACAGGGCCTGACCAAGATCCTCCCATGGGAGGGACTCGGCCCCGGGGGTCCCCAGACCTGGCTCGTGTGCTGACCAGCCACAGTGTGGGGCCGGCAGCTAGAGCACAGGGCTCCACCCAAGCGAGTGGGCCGCCACCTGCTCACCAGGTCAGGGAGCCCCCTGACCCCAGGCCTCTCGGCAAACAGGCTCTGCAGACTGCAGGCAGAGGGGCTTCCTCAAGGCCCGGGCTCCTTGTCCTCAGGCACCCCACATGTGACTTTTCACAGCAGTGCCTCTCAGTACCAGGCGCACGACAGGGATGGAGCCTGGACTGATGGGGCACAGGTGGACCTACGACACGCACCGCGTCGCAGCTGTAGCCAGAGGAATGGAAGGACAGACGCCAGTGAAGGAGCCCACAGCAGCAGAGACAAGCAGGTGACGAAAGATCTGCAATAAGCTTTCTACTGGCAATTACACCGGCCGCGTGTGCCACCCCTGGGGCCCTGACAGTGCAGGGTCAGCGCTTCATGCTGTTACTCAGGCCGGGCCCTCCCCCTGGGTCGGGCTAGTGGCATGGCCTGTCTTAATGGCTTTTAAAAAGCTTTGTTCTGCAACATTCTGGAGGCACTGGGTCACAAGCAAGTGTCCCGTGGGCGTGGAGAGGAGCAGGCAGTGCCAGGTGCCAAGGAGCTTCTCTCCTTGCCCGCCGGCACCCAGCTCAGATATGCAGCAAACCATGCCAGGGCACTTCCTCCCTCACCTAGACTCCAGCCTTGCCCGCAGCCCCCGGCTGAGCCCAGGCCCGGGTCCCACGCGCCCGCAGTCCCCAGCAGAGCCCAGGCCCGGGTCCCACGCGCCCGCAGTCCCCAGCAGAGCCCAGGCCCGGGTCCCACTCGCCCGCAGTCCCCAGCAGAGCCCAGGCCCGGGTCCCACGCACCCGCAGTCCCCAGCAGAGCCCAGGCCCACTCCCTTCCTCTGTTGAGCTGAAACATGAGTGGCCCAAGCTTCCAGTCCTTATCCCGCATGTGGGTGGCGCAGGGATGTTTCTGGGGTTGGTGCCCCCTAACCTCAAGAATCAAGGGCTTTGCGCCCACAGAGCAGGTCCCCAACCACCCCCATCTCCGGATTAATCCTGCCATGAACGTCTTCTTCCTGTAGCCAGGACAGCAACCCCAAAAGAAGCCGACAGAGCTCCTGGGAAACAAGTTTTAGAAGGAGCCATGACCCGAAGTTTGCCATTAGATTCTACACTTCAGGGACCAGAAAGCAAATCCAAGGGACATGCATGGCCGCCCTCACCCCGAACGCCCTGAGGGTCCCCGGGCAGGTTAGACACCTCCCTTTGCCAAGGTGGTGAAGGGACAGAGCCCGCGGCCAGCTCAGAACAGAGGCAGCCTCGGGGCCGAGGGCCGGGGTGATCAGGGCTCACGCCGCACGGTGCCCGATACACGGCGTGTTCTATTCAGGACGATGGAACGAAGGCGCAGTGCAGGGCAGCTGGGGGTGCCGTGGGCCACGTGCCTACTCCTTGGTGAGCGCATCGTACAGACGCCCTCCCCCACCCGCAGCAGCCCAGACTGACTTCCCAGGGTCACCTTTCCTTTTCATTTTTTAACTTATTTTATTGGAAAGTCAGATATACAGAGAGGAGGAGAGACAGAGAAGAAGATCCGTCTGCTGATTCACTCCCCAAGCGGCCACAGTGGCCGGAGCTGATCTGATCTGAAACCAGGAGCCAGGAGCCTCTCCCAGCTCTCCCACGTGGGTGCAGGGTCCCAAGGCCCTGGGCCGTCCTCGACTGCTTTCCCAGGCCACAGGCAGGGAGCTGGATGGGAAGCAAGGAGGCTGGGATTAGAACCGGTGCCCATATGGGATCCCAGCGTGTGCCAGGCGAGGATTTTAGCCACTAGGCTACCATGCTGGGCCTGAAAACTTTCCTCTTTTGAATGGTTGGAAAAGTAGTACCTGGCTGGGTCAGGGTTGTGGCTCAGTGGGTTATACCGCCTGCGATGCCACCACTGCTGCACATCCCATCCAGCCCCCCACTAAACACCGGGGAAGCCGCAGAGCAGCCCAAGCGCTTGGGAGACCCTGAAGCAACTCCTGGCTCCTGGCTTCAGGCTGGGCCAGCTAGGATCACTGAAGCCTTTGGGGGGGGTGTGAACCAGCCAATGGGAGAGCTGCATCTCTCCCTCTCTGTAATCCTGCCTTCCAAACAGTCTGGTTAGTCAAGGGTCAAGACTGGAAGCTAAGGGCATGTGAGCATTGCACATTAGGCCCCTGGCTTGGTGCCATGTCAGCCCCCTGCTGACAGACCCTGGGGAGCAGCGGTTCATATTAGATACCGGGGTCCCTGACCCCACACGGCAGACCTGGGTTGCACCCGGCCCGGGTTCCAGGCAGCCAAGGGTAAACCAGGCCAGGGGGCTCTCTTTATCCGCTTCTCTCTCCCATAAACAAAAATTGAAAAACAAAAGTAACTCCATTAACTGGCACTGCAACCAGCACCGAAGCAGTGTGGGTAAAGCTGCCCTCTGCCAGAATCCCAAGTGGGCACTGCTTAGTGGACCAGCTCCTCCGCTTCCAACTCAGCTCCCCAACCGGGACGGGCAGTCCCTGTGCCCAGGTGGGAGATCCAGACGAGGCACCTGGCTTCGGCCTGCCCCAGCAGTGGCAGCTGTGGCCATCTGAGGATGGAAGATTCCCTAACTGGCCAAATAAACAAGTAAGTTTTATGATGTGGAAGGAAGCTGGCCAGATGCTTGCAGGGAGAAGGGGGGCGCAGGGAGCCCTCATTTCCAACTGTGCTGCCCCAGCCCTGGGCCTCGGACTCAGATTCTTCCGGATTTCTTTCCATCCCGGGTGAGAACCTCCTCCCTGAATTTGCAACAGGAGAGAGGAAGCGGGATGTGGGGGAGGCAAAGCGGCAGCCGGCAGCACCCCTCTGTGGGCCTGGAGGGGCACAGCTCTGTCCTCACAGACACCCCTGCACCTGCTCCCGGAGGTCCTGCCTGGGAGAGGCTCCTGTGACAGCTGGCCTTGCAGGGTGACCTGTTCTTCCAGGCAGGGGGCAGGCGAGGGCAGGCCACGGGCGGAGGGCACGGGCAGGGGCATGGCAGGCCATGGGTGGGAGGGCAGGGCAGGCAGAGGGCAGGCCATGGGTGGGAAGGCAGACCACAGGTGGGAGGACAGGGAAGGGGGAGGGCAGGCCATAGGTGGGAGGGCAGGGCAGGGCATGGGGAGGGCAAGCAATGGGCAGGCAGGACAAGGCAGAGGGTTCCCCTGAAGCAACCCCCAGACCCTCCTGGTGGACCCGGAGGCCCACCCCAGGGAAGAGGGATGGACGCAAAGAACCCAAAGAATTTGGTGGCGGTGGGGGTAAAGCCAAGGAGTCCACACCTGTTTGCTGAAAAGGCCCAGCTCAGAGGGCTGACCGCGCCCCAGGGCCTTGACGGAGAGCCGGCTCTGTACCCCCGGCCTCTCCCTAGGCAGACCTAGTGCTGTTTTTCTTCCTTTCCTCTGTTCACACACCATCTGGGTTTGAGATCAAGGGTGACCCACTGCAGACGCTGGCTACTGGAAGGCGCAGCCGTGGACCACATTCAAAGCACACGCAACCACAGGGCCCTGCCGCACCCCTCGGCCCAGGGCCACGTGAAGTCACTTCCCCCCCGGCCAGGGCCCCTGCACAAACAGCCAGAGTCGGCTCAGCCAGAACGGGACCAGGACGGGCTGGGAGGTGGGGGGCAGGGGGCAGTGGAAAAAACAGTGGTGGCAGAGGGCGAGCCAGAAGTTGGGCTGTGCTGCATGTGGCTGCCTGGGGGAGGCAGAAGAGGCCAGACTGGCCACAGCTGCCCAGGACTGCGTGCAGCGAGGCGCCCAGGAAGGGGCTGCTAGAAACGGGGTCCCTGCTCAGAGCGCAGCCCCCACACACTGTGTTGGCAGCAGATCCCCCGTGACTAAACCCCGCTCCCAGCTCCCACACACAGGCCTGGCTGCCCCGAGCTGACCGGAACAGCTCCCATTGGGCACTCAGACTGTGGCCCCCAGGGCCACCCCAGAGGAACGTGCGGAAGGCACCCAGCAGCAGCTGCCGCGTGGAGGGTCACACGTACCAGCTCCGCAGGGGGCCTGGCAGCTCCCAGATGCGTGCACACACACGTACGTGCAATACCACAGCTGTAGCTGTACACACCTGTCCTGGCCCCTGGCAGGTCACACAGCAGACGTCCCAGGGGATTCAGAGCCAGTTTTTTCTCTACTTTCTGCCAGGGACGAACTTGCAGACTCTGAGCTGTGCTGGATGCCCCGGCCCGCTCAGAAACACAAGGTCCCGTGTCTGTAGATCTGGGGAGCACCAGGAATCCTGCCGCCCCACCCTCACGTGACAGCCAGCGACACCCATGACTGCATCCTGCTTCTGCCGTGGGCCACAAGGACGACTCAGCCAAGGTCAGCTGACCTTTGAATTCTGACCTGGTCATAGCACCAGCTTTTCTGGCCAATGGACCTGGGGTGTCTCTACCCCAGCCACCCACAAAACCCTCTGGAAGGGGAGGGGTGGCCCATTCACTTGCCCACAGCAGCCAGGGACATGGGTCCACAGAGCCCCTCGTGTGTGCCTTGTGACGGCCAGGGTAGAGGGATGCTCCTCCAGCCCTGGTCTATGGGGCCTCAGTTGTCGCAGGTAACTGACCACCTGGGCTCCCAGGGGACAGGGAAGACCACCGGGAGCCCCCCTTGAGGTGACGGCATCAGTGCAGGGGACCAGCCCCACTTGTCAGCTCAGGCGTCCCAGGCTGCCCAGCCCCTCCACGCCAGCCCCTCTCGCTCAGCCGTGGAGCAATCTCCCAAGTTCGCTCCTTTTAGGGAAATGAAGGGAAAATGGGGGCTGTAGCG